CACAGGGCCTGTGTTTTCTCAGGACCGATCTTGTTCTCTTTGAGAGATCAAGGGGATGTCATATTTTAGAAAACGATAATTTGAATTTCATTAGCTATATTTAAAAAGGCACATAACGTATAAAATAATACTCCGTAAATCTTAAGAAAACACATACTTTGCTTTATATAGAACATATATATGCTTGAGAAGAAATCAAACTGCTCAAAGACATATAGATGATTGATAGTTAAGTCATGTGTGAAATTATGTTCTTGTTTTCTTTCTTTATTAAAGAATAGAATTTCTAAAATCGGAATGTTAACGATAGAAGTTGTTAACGATAGAATTTATAAATACATAAAAATCTCTGACTCAATAAGAAACTACTATAGCGGTAAAACCAAGCTCTAGGAGCTTGTTTAAGATCATAGATAGCCTTGCACAGAAGAAAACACATAAGGAGGAAATTGAAGATGAACAAATCGGGGGTGACACATGTACACTTCTTCAGTAAGATGACCATGAAGAAATGCATTCTTGACATCTAACTGACAAATGACCCAACCACGCGAAACAACTATGGTGAGAACAATACGGACAGTGGTAGTTTAACAACGGGCTAAACGTGTCAAAAAATCTACATCGGCTTGTTGATTAAAACCACGTGCAATATATCCACCAGAAAGATATTTAGTCTTATGAATCCATTTACACCCTACCAAATTCTTGTGAGAATTAAACAACACCAAGTCCCAAGCGTCTACAGTCCACATTCATGTCTGTTGGCCTATCTCGTTCATTTGAGCTCAAGTGTATCATTTTTGTGGAGTGTGATATATCTCGTTCCCTTTTTAGCGCCATCCTATAATAATATTTCAACCAGACGGCCTGTTATATATCTGGAGTGTGATGGGGGGGATGGAAAAGTTTGTCTTGAAGTATTTGTGTTTGAGCGATCCCATATCAACAGTCGATTAACTAATAGATAATAATAGAAAGAATTTAAACAGTAGAAGAATAATTAATCAACATTCAATACCGTATATTCAGAATAATGTAGCAATAATGCTTATTACAAAGATGAAATGTTGAGAGAGAATTATCTAGGTGCTCTACGAGAATAATATGGGTGGAATAGAATGTGTAGAGACAGTGCCGGCTTTAAGGCCAGTTAACCCAGGCAACTGGCTAGGGCCTCACGGTTTAAGGGGCCTCACAAAATAAAGTTAATACTCCGTAGTATACGTAGTATTTGGAAATTGAATAACTCTTCAACTCCCTGGCTCCCCACTGCACACGAATGAAGCAAACTTACTACAGGCTAAACAACATTGAATAGTCATTCATTATTAATATGTGTTGCTTTCTTCCAACTCCACCCTTAATGCCGACTGCCCAATTTACTTTTTATCATTATTTAATTTGAATAATCTTTTTTATCATTACCATTGTTAATAATACTCCGTAATTTCTACTTTGGATATATATTTAGTATACTTTTTATCAAGTTTTTTTATACCTATACTTGTTTCCATATTTGTTTAATTAATTGTTTTTTCTCTAATTTTGCACTTCAATATGCAAAAAGAGAGGGTATTAAAAAGTACAATTTTGGTGCTTTTTTTGCGGGGAATTTTGGTGCATTTTGGATATATTACATTTAAATTTATGTTTCTAATATGGTTTATTTGTGTTAATTTTATCATTTTTTTAGGAAAAAGGGGCAAATAAGCCCACGTACTAACCAAAAAAGGTCAAATAAGCCTTTATACAGGAGGCTCTGTCCGGGCGTCGCCATTTGGGACAGTTCCAAGTGGAATTTTTTGCTGACATTTTTTTAGAATCTTATTCATTAAGTCTAGTTTACTCATACCAAAGTCCAGCTAACAATTCAATTGAAAAGGCATTCAAATAAATTCTTGAAGATAACTTCGCTTTTAATTGCGCAGTTATCTTCAAGAATTCATTTGAATGTCTTCCCGATTGAAGTTTCAGCTTAACTTTGGTATGAGTACACTAGACTTAATGAATAATATGCTCAAAAAATGGCATCAAAAATTTCCACCGGGAACTGCCCCAAATGACTACAGTCAGACATAGCCTCCTATATAAGGGCTTATTTGATCTTTTTTTGGTCAGTACGTGGACTTATTTGCCCCTTTTTCCTTTTTTTATAACTTTGTGTTATAAAAATCACATTAGTATGATTTATGTGAATATTATTAAGAGCATGTTTGGCATTTAGCAGTTAGCGGTTATGAATAGCAGATTATGTTAGCGGGTTTGACTAGCGGAATAACTTGGCAGATTGTCAAAAGATGTTTGGTAATTTGGATGTTTGACCATAACAATTAGTAAAGAACACCATATTTCAAAATGCATACCCAAAACTCGAACTCCTATTTTTAGCGTTTTCATTTCAGATTTTCAATGGTTCTGTCCAAAAACAATAGAGTCGAACAACTATTCACTAAACATTGTTTTCACCTATTGACAACGCTAAAGTGGGTCAAGCCGTCATTTTTTTTTTTTTGCTAAAACACCATTTTCCAAACACTTTCTAGGTATTTTCTGCCTAGGGCCTCCAAAATGTTCAAGACAACCTTGTGTAGAGACTTAGGTTGTTCGAACCATCTATGCATGTATTTATAGGTGAGACGTCGAGCATCCTATTACAATTAGGAATACAGAGTGGCGTGCGTGTCGGCTTTAATTAGAGCACATAAAAAGTCAGATCCTCGCTCAACTAATAAGTCTGCTAATACTAAGACTCTTTAAACAAAGATAATTACAATTAATTTGAACACAATTAAATAATGTTCTAACAATTTGGCATAAGGACATGAGGTGAACTTCACTCCCACACTTATTGTGCAATTGAGACTAGGGAAGTCTCATCATTCCTATCCTACCAATTTGGCCAGCCCGTCCAAGATAGAGACAGGTGCTTTCAACCTTCTCATCTTCATCATTTCCAACTGAGCTCAATCAAGAGAAAGGTCCAAGAAAGAAGAACAATTATTATAACTGAGGAGAAAATCTCAAAAAACATCTTCTCAAAAAACAAGCTAACCACTTCATTGGTTTGGAGGATAGTATACGAAAATGGACTTATGATCTCATCCATTCGCCGGAAAACATCTTCTCAGAGGGTGTTGAATTTTTTATTATAGGAAACATATAGAACCGTGATTATAGATCTCTAAATTCAAAACAATAACAACAACACCAACAACAATAGCAGCAGCCGCAACAGCAACCGTAGCAGCAGCAACACCAACCACAATATTATTAGTAATGCTAATATTATCGATTACATTTAATCACACAACAATTTAAATTTAGTTGGTGGAAGCGGGTGAGGATGAATACATTGACCTCACCCTATTGGTATCGTTTCAATTCAGCCAGCCCATCCAGGATAGAGACATATGCTTTGAAACTTTTCATCTTCATGATCACCAATCGAGCTCAAGCAAGATGAAGGTCTAAGGAAGACGAAAAGTTATGATAAGTGAAGAAATAATCTGGAAAATTAAGGTAATGACTTCATGAGTTTAAATTCCTATTTAATTTAATCTCATATCATTTGATAAATCATATGATAACCCCTAAACTTGTTCTACACGTCTAGAGGTGTAGAGTGATGGGTTGGAAGGATAGTTTTTATCCAAGAACGGATTTATGACCGAAGAAAGACCGGTTCACTAGAAAATACCTTCATATAGGGTGTTGATGTTAATACGACTCTGTTTCAATAAAAATATATATGTTAGTGACCCATCCAATGTATTATTGGGTTCTTAAGGAATCTGGTAATGGCCAGAGAAGTTCCTGGAGTTCGCCAGAAGTTTGCCGGAAACTCACCAGAAGTCTCTGGAAGTCATTCGGAAAAGACAAAAACTTGCTAACATCATTTTAAGGTGAGGGACGATTTTATGTCTTATCATTCTTGGGTTAAACGTGAGATTGGATAAGTTAATCAAACCCATGATTTGAAAAATGGTTCAAATGATTTAAAATATATGTTTAACCATGTTAATTATAGAATGTTAATATGGCATGATTAATGAGTAAGAAATGAAATTTGTTGATAATGGTATGAATACAATGTTTTAAAAGAAAAGATAATGAACCGGGCTTTTTGTTTAGGCATGAGATTACCTAAGGTAATCAAGAACATGTTTTATGGAAAGATTAAATGCATCTAAGTGTGCGTAATTTGGACCAAACGTAATTATATGATATGTATGATGTTCAAAGGGTCCAAAATCGTATTTTTAGATTAAGAATGACTTGTTAAACAAGTGAGTAAAATTTAATAGAAATCGAGCTTTGTTTAGGCGGTCAAACAAGCATTGACCGTCGAGTCAAAGCTTATACTCGATCATGTATAAGGAAGACCCGACTAAGTTTTTGTGTTGGGACGCTGATGCCTCACATAATCGACCGGGGTATGGGTGTGTACCCAATCGGGTAATCCACCAAAAATGAAGATTTGGGTCACTGGTTTATATACCTGGCCTGGTATGATCTTATACCCGACTAGGTATATGGGTTAAACACCCCAAATAGAGGTTTTCGATAGTTACTTGGGCTGAATTAGTGACTATAGAGTTGATAGATGTAAAAATTCGAAAATTTTGAATTATATCCGATTTGTATTAATAATATTGTTGAAATTTTGGACGATGAATGTGAGTGAAAAACATCCTTGAGGGTGAAGTACACAATTCAAAAAGGAATACTCATAAATTCATAAGTGTATGCGAGTGAAGTAGAGTGAAGAAGTTTCATATACATGGAATGAAGTGAACTACATTTACTTGTAAAATCTTTCTTTACATTTGAATTTATATTTTGAGTGCCAGAATATGTAATTGAGTGTACAAGAATCTTATAAACCCGTGATTGTGGAGGAGGTCAGGGTCGTGTTTTCCCTAGAAAATGGCCGTTGATATTTTATCTTTTCACACTTCAGTGCACATGATCTCCATTCATCATATTTCACTTAGAAGTTAGAACTCACATTTAAAGTGTAACCTTCATATTGAGAGAGTTTACATTACTAATAATAAAACTGATTCGAATCATTCGATATATATGTCAATACATAAGATAAAGATCGAAATCATATCTAGGGGTTATACCAGTATTCTCTAGTACAGTCGATACGTAGTTAAATCTATATATGTCTTGGTTAATTCGGCTCTCCATATTTTGTACCACATATTCGGGCAGAAGAGGGCTGATTTACTTTAAGTAAGTCATTATTTTCTCAACGTCAGATATCTGGAAAGGCTTAAACAGGAAATCTCGAGCTCCTCCTTCCAAGCACCTGCACTGTGTTGTTGCACAAATGAGTATGAAAAATAAAATTGTAGTTCATATTTACATTCACATGCACCATTTTAAATTAATTTAGTTTATAATTCAGTATATGTTATTTAAATTAGTACTAGTATTACTGTACTAGTAATCAAAGCTAAGATAGTTAAATAATACACAAGTTCTATGAAAATGAAAAAAATGAATTTAAATATAAAAAATCTCATTATGAAAATTAAAGCAAAGCGAGATGTTTTTACACTTTTACTAGATATTTATAGGAGCACTAATTCAGAATTGGGAGACGTTTCTCTAAGATAGATGTTTCACTAAATAAAAAAACGCTACACTAAAAAACAAAAAAAACTAACATCGATTCTAATCTTTAACGAACAACTTTATATATAAAAATAAAAAATAAGAACTTTATAATTAATTCTTAACACTAACACTTTTTTTTATAAAAAACAAGTAACTTACCATGGGTCAAACACCATAAGTCTAAATTTAAATATTGAACAATGTTGTTTGTATACGCCAAATTGTAGACATTATCATTTTACACGCCAATCGAACTATCGGAGCACAAACAATGTTTTTTCATTTTGTGTAGAGAACCGTGTTTCTCTCCGACAACAAAAATATATGTTTGTGTCACACACAAAAAACGTTGTGTGTGTGAAAAAGATTCACTTCACAAAGCGAAAAAGCTACAAGTCACAGACAATTTGTCCGACGTGTAAAATGTGATGTACAACTAGCATGTACAACAAACATTATGAAATATTTATCCGGGGTACCGAGAGGAAAAATTATGTAATGAAGGCATGTACCTAAGTAGTATGATAATTAATGAAAAATAATGCGATTAAAAAAGGGAATATGAACATCGCAAATTATCCTTCATCCAATAAAACTAGTTCAAAAGTAATTTGTGCACAAGAGAGAATATAATTTTATATATGGAGCATAAGGCCATTTATAGTGATAGAAGTGAGGAGTCTAAAATGTCAAATTTTGAGATTTTGGACTCCTAATTTGGTGTAGTGCGGTATTAAAAGGGCGATTAAAAGTGAAACAGAGATAGAGAGTTTCAAATTTAAAGAGCGAGTTAAGAGGGAGAAATACATCCTATGAAAGTGGGGATGATGTCATCCTGTGTCATTGATGTGTCATTACAATCCCAATTTTTTTAAACTCATATTAGTTTTTATTTGTTATCCAAAATTTTCAAAAAATATATCAAATTCATGAGTTTCTACTATTGTATTACACCAATATGTAATCAGAAATTACACCAAATAGGAGTAAAACTATGACAAAAATTCAAAAATAGGACTTCTTATGTTTTTATTTCAAAATAGGACTATATTACTCATATTTTGAAACATACCTATTTTTTCATTCCATTCTTACCCCTCCCTTAAGTATAAATAAAAGGTAGTCAAAAGGCATAAATAAATATTTTAATTCATATAAAATCGTAAAAATTAGAAAATATCGTTGAAGAAAAATAAAAATTAATCAAATATTAACAAATTATTTTTTAATTTTTTTTTAAATTATTTAAAAATATTAAAAATTAATAAAAAAATAAAAATATGGATACCTTCCTCACCGCCTGTACTGTCTCGTTGCACCACCACCTCCGATCGGTGTAAAAAATTCCATTGTTTGTAAAAAATGCCATTTTTTCTAAAATTGCCAAAAAATGACATGTTATTCTTTGAGAATACCAAAATTTTCATTAAATCTGCCATAGATACGGCATTCATAACGCAAGTGGCACTTTTGATCCGGTGACCGGAGGTGGTGATGCTGGGGTGCAGAGGTGGCAGTGATTTTTCTTACGTTTTTTATTTTTTTTAAGAATGCCAATATTACACCAAAAAATCTTCTTAAAAAATGACATGTTATTCTTTGAGAATGCCAATATTTTTTATTATTTTGAATGATTTTATTATGAATTAAAACATTTCAATAGTTACAAAGGTATATTTGTCTAAAGACACATAAATTAGTTGTACTAAACATTACGTACGAAATCACTCTTATTTTAGCATTTGATGAGTCTTTTAGTCCTACATGAGTATGAGTAAGTAACCCATATGTAATATATCAAGTGATTTTTTAAGTTAACAGTTGGAGTTTTTTGAGCCCAAAAAAAAATACCAAACACAAATTTTTAGTACATTAAGCGCTCATAAAATGAATGCTCATAAAATGTTTGCACATGAATTAATTGAATGTTTAGAAGGGAATATGACAATAATCGAACTTTATTTGAATTAAGTTCATTTTTTGTTAATCGAAAAATGTTCCAAAAAATAATGAAATTTACTTTTTTCACATCGAAATGTGTATGGGAAAATTTTAAACGAAAAGATAACTTTTAATAATTTAAGTGGTAATCTTTGATATTTAAAATAATATTCCCTCCGTCCCGAAAAGGTTGGCCAAAGTTGACTTTCACGTGGATTAATAAAGTAAAAACTGTTTGGTTGAAATTTGTGTAGAGGAGAGAGAATTAATTTTAGCCACATATTCCATACTTTAAATGTAAATTTTTTTGGGAAATCTAAAAAAGGAAATTTGGCCAACCTTTTCGGCACGAAGGGGTATGTTAAATGTACGTAATATTTTATCGAAGGAATCTAAATAGTGTGGACAGATCTAAGAGTTTTGCTAGGAGTACCTCAAAATGTACCCCATTTTTACCCCAACCCCTAATGTGTGGTCATAAATGGGCCAATTAATTTAAGTGGTGCCTCACTTAAATGAATTGACCTATTTATGGCCACACATTAGGGGGTGGGGTAAAAATGGGGTACATTTTGGAGTACCTTTAACATTTGTGCAGATCTAATGGTGGAGAGAAGGATTACTCATTCACTCGTCGGGGGAGATTCTCTGATGAGAGAATCACAACTGGTATATCCTTCAGCTTAGGAGATTCCTGTCATTTCAATATAGCCTAGCTTAGCTTGTATCGCAATTTACATATATACGGAGCATATAGTCTAGAAACTCGTGCAAAAGATATTGATATGGTCCGACCTTGACTTTCTTAAGCAGTTCATATCCGGTCATCTCCGGCATGCAATAGTCAGTCACGATCAAGTCCACCTTACCCTCCTACATTTCATCCAATTCCAATTCAAAAATGATATTTGAACACACTCTTATACACACTTTTATACACATCTATGTCTGTGAAAGCTTTTTTTGTCTGTTAACATCGATTCATAGACAATGTTTTGCACAAACAAAATATTGTCTGTGAACCGGATTCACACACAAAAAAAAGCTTCACAAACATGGTGTGTATAAGGTGTGTACAAGGTGTGTACATCAAGCATGGTTGATTCCAATTCAGCTAATACAAAACATGCTATATACTTCAAAAATAGTACCTATCCTTTAAGTCGGTACTCATTTAAAAATTAGGATACTGTACCTACCAACACTTAATTGATCCAGATCATTATATCATTTTTAATTTAGATTTAAATAATTCAATTGCAGCATTCTGATTGGTTCATGTGAACAAAGGTATGGTACCTTAAGAATATCATAGAATCTACCTAATTTGTATTCAAAAATAGACTTTCTTTACTAACCCAATGGTGGTCACTTGACTACCATTCATCAATAAAAAATCAATATGACCAATCTTTTTGAGACAAACGAAGTACTCCCTCCGTTCCGTTGGAATGTTACCGGTATTACCTACACACATATTAAGGAAATAAACTTACCAGGGGGTAAATTTTACTGTTTTGACACCGTTTCGACACTGTTTGACATTGTTTCGACACTATTTGACACTGTTTTGCATTGTTTGATCCTGTTTTGATGTAGGATAACTTTCCATTTAGGGGAAACGGAAACTTTCCGACAGGACATCCAAAAAAGGAAAGCGGAAACATTCCAACGGGACGGAGGGAGTATGACAAACTTAATGATGTCGATCGTTCAAATTTGAAAAATTACAAGCATCCAAACTACTCCGTAATTCTCATGAGGTGGAGTATTATTTGAATTGGAGGCCTCACCATAATCACGTGAGAATGGTTAACATCAACTCAAAAAGGTGGATTCGACCTCAAAGAGACGTTCAAAAAATTTCCGATGCGCACAAGGATCTCTGCCACCGCCACCACGGTTGAACTACCGCGTGTAGGGGTATTCAGAACTTTAATGTTGGTTTGGGAGTTGCATGGGTTTAGAGGGTTTTAGAAGGGACCACTCTTGATTGCTAAATATAGTACTCCCTCCGTCCCTATATAAAAGTATCCATTCGTTTTCCACACATTTTAAGAAAGTGAGATTGATTGATACTGTTTGACACTGTTTGTCACTGTTTTGCACTATTTTGTTTGCCAAAAAAGGAAGGGAACTTTTATTTAGGGACGGCCGAAAATGAAACAGATGTTTTTATTTAGGGACGGAGGGAGTAATCACATATAAGTATATAGTCATTTATTTATATATCCTTTCCGATGCATCCACATAAAAAAGTCATTTATGTATTTCAGATAATAAACTCTTTTAATTGCACTAAATTTTGACGCGGGTAAGCACTTTGAGTTTGAAGTTTTTGAGTTTAGATGAGTATAGTACGTCTCAAGGCCGGCCTTGAAGTATAATGGGCCCTGTTCAAAATATTCAGACCCTTAAGTACAAAACAAAATAGACAGTATGAATAACAAAATAATTGAAATTTCTAATCAGTATTATATTTTATGTATTTAATACTCAGATTGATATTTTTAACTCTAGAAGAAGCCAATGATTATTGCGTTCAGATTCGTAGAGAAGAAGTCGTTAGAAATTAGATTAGATTCAATTGTCGAAAGAATAAAGGTGCAAGACTAGGGCGATTCTTATCCTTTTCTCCCCAATTCCCCATATTCCCTTTTGTCCTAAAATTCGGTTGCAAATAAAATTTAAGCAAAAAACTTACTCCATAAGTAATTGTGGTTTACTTACCCAACATTTTCAAGCTAATCAAATTGTAGTTTCATGCCACGTTTTCATTCTAGTGGTATATGTATACACGTATAGTACACAATTTTATTTACATTTTGGAATTGGCTTTAATCCTACCTGCAAATCTGCAATGCCGCAAATGAACAGAGCAAATATAACATTCGGCATAATAATCGATCAAATTATTGCACCTAATACTTAATACGGAGTATTAAAAATTAGGCCCTCTCCTGATCTGGGCCCTGTTCGGCCGCACCTCCTAAACATGGTCAGGGCCGGCCCCGGTACGTCTTATCCTAACTATATATAGCGAATTGCACTAAATTTAGATTTGTTGAACAGTTTGGTTTTCAAGATAGAGTAAGCTAAACCCTTCAAATCATTTACCATTCAAAACCTTTCATCCAAACATATCATAAATTAGCTTCATGGGTTCAGGAAATTAAATAAGCTCAACTTTTAGATCTGAGTTGGGCGTCTTAATTACCATGTTATCCAGCAATTCCAGTGCCCGCGGTCCACTATCAGCGACGGTCACTACAAAATAATTATACGACAACATTAATATTACTATTATATATAACATACCTAGCTAGTATTACCATATTGTTTATATAAATCTACACACTAATAAGAAGTTAATATTATCTTAAAAATATATGTATAGAGGACTTATTTCGTGCACATTAAGATTTAAGAACATGCATTTACTTTTTCCCACAACGAGATAAACAGAAAAACAAAAATAAAAAAGGCAAGAATATTAATTCCTATGATCGGACACAATTTATTTATTAATGTTAAAGATCGAAGAGATCAGAGACAGTAATAAGAGACCATTCCCTAATCCCTAAAAAAAAATCCATTTTCACATATAGGACATCTATCAATATTATAAGCTATACCTACTACGTCTTCTTTGATCATCACCAAATTAGTCATGTATTTTGAAACTATATAAAAATTACGGAGTACTACTCCGTCTCATATTCATAAACTTTACTTGTCTTCTACTCATATTTGTAAGAAATTCAAAATCTTCTTAAAAAGAAAAATGTAAACGTGCGAGTAAAATTTTGTTCCGCACTTCAGATTTGTATCTGAAAAATATAAAAGTTGTTGCAAAAAATAAAATAATAGTACACCCACAATATACATAATAAAAGACAGATTACCTTTAAAGGAAGAGGCCTGGAAAATCCTCTCGATGAGCTTGCGTTCTGATGGACTGTCATCCACGGCTAGCACGTGGGGCTGCACCATTGATGATGACGATGAAGCGGAAGAGGCTGCTGGTTTCATTTTTTCTGTTTCTTTAGCTGATCTGAAAATTTAAAGGCAATTAATTAAGCTTAGCTTATGATTAATATAATAAGCTTATAGTTTACTACGGAGTATAATAAGATGAAACAAAGCAGCAAATATCGCTATATATATAGAGGGAGAGCTAGGGAATTAGTGATGAAGGGGCGGGGTTGGGGAGTGGAGAAAGAATCGGGAGAAAATCGGGGCAGAGATATTCTGCGATCTTTATCGGTCACTGCATGGGATTCCTTTAACATTGCAGCCAATCCTCTCTTCTTCTTTCTGCTGCGCGCCTATTCCATCTCTTATCCTTTCCTATATTCGTCACATTACGTATAGTACGACCACATAGATTTAATTCGTATGTATTTATGTACGTCCTCGAATAATACTTATATACATACATACAGATCGAGTAATTAAGAGATGGAGTAATTAGGTCTAGCTATCTAGCTAGCTACTTATATACGTATGTCTATGCATCTATGGCCTAGCTACTGCAGGGATATGCTCGGTCTTCGGATCAGATCACCTTCCATGTTCCCACCTCACCAAACCGTTGTAATCTTTTTGAAAATGATGTATGTTTGTATGTATGTGCTTGCGCCACCGGTAGAGACAGGGACAGAGAGGGGTTGGAAGGGATCTCGGACTCGAAAAGAAAATTTTAACACTCATCGGTCATCGTGTAGCGAATAGCGGATTACTACCTCCGCTTCTTATTAAAGTTCCCACTTTCCTTTTTGGGATGTCCCTTATTTAAGTTCACACTTCCATTTTAGGAAACAAAACAGTGCAAAACAGTGCCAAACAGTGTCAAACAGTGTCCAAACAGTGTCAAACAGTGCACTCCACAGTAAAGTCAAATTCATTTTCCTAATATGTGTGAAGTCAAACTAAGAACTTAAATAAGAACCGGAGGAAGTATGTTAGTGGATTGTCAATAGTGGATATAATTATCGTGTTTCACTAGCGAAATAAATTGACGGGTTGTCGGAAAATGTTTGATAATTTAATTAGCTGTTTGGCTATAAAATTAGTAGAAAACATCAAATTTTAAAACGCTAACCCAAAACTATTATATTTGTAGGGTTTTCATTTCAGCGTTATTTTCGATCAAAATGCTATTTACCAAACACCCCCTAGCTATATGAGCCCCAACCCCTAAATTAGGCTTCAAACAACTTTCGCAAAGAGACATTTGAGGGAACGTATGGGGTAACTATATCATTTGATTTGTTCATGACACTCAAATTTGCTGAATCGATTCGATCTGCTACATTCACAAGTTCTAAAATAGCGGTTGAATTGTGAATCTACTCAATCATGAAAATATTACATTTAAGATACATTTTATTAATATACGGAGTAATAATTTTTTTTTAATGAAAAACAGCTATTTAAAGTAGTTGTCTCATAAATTTTATCATTTCTATTTAAAGTAATAAATATATACGAAGTATGAGGTTAAAACTTCTTTGTGTATGTATTTCATAAATCTCAATCATATAGGATGTTTTCTTTTGGACTGTTTTCAGTCCCAAATCAAACTAGATCAGATCAGACAAGACAAACTAGATTAGACTTCCATAGTTATAAAATATGGAAAGACCAGACATTCACCAGACCAAACCAACAAATTTTAGTCCAAAAGAAAACATTCGTAGTATGGTTTACTTTCTTATTTTACGTGAACAAGTTTTGTCAAATTTGATCAAGGGGGGTCGTTAGTATATGCGTGTACTAATAAAAAAAAGGATGACACCCCATCCCTGAGGCCTCCAATCTCGACCGGACGGTACGTTGGGAGAATGTAAATTGAATTATAATCTCAATCTGACAGATAGAGAGTGGAGTGAGGCTTTGTCCCCGGTACTTGCACAGACCCTATGCATTTTTAGCATAGTAATCCCTCATCGCAGTTGCCGGGATTTGAACCTGGGACCTAACCCTTGTGACACTCCCTTGCTGCCAGTTGAGCTACGCCCACCGGTTGCGTGTACTAATAATATTCTATATATGGAGTAACATTTTAGCTATGCTCAACATATTTATGGAGGTCCTTTAATTTGTTGAGTAGGTTACCCTCAACCTATTGGACTGAAATATAAAACTCAAATATAAAGTATATTTTTTGTACTTATATATTACTCCATATTACTTTATACGAAGTATATTGCTTGAATTGGTTGAGTTGGTTCGGTACAAATATTGATAATGTGATTGATAAATGATGTACTTGCCTATGCCTATGCCCATGCCGGTGAGCACACCCAAAACACTCTCACTAAAAGTAATAATTTACTCGCACGGGTAGCGCGGTTGTTTGAGTTGTGGAAAAATTGGACCAAGTGACTAAGGTTCGAAACTGCAGCGGCCGTGTGGAGGTTAGAGAACTTGAAATAAGGCTGGACCTCTGGTACGCACGTGTATAAGGCGTACCACCGCTTTGCTGACTTAGTCACCGTGATTAACCTCTTCACCATTCTGTCGGGTCGGGGTGGACTCCTGGGGTGGGAGATTCCAACTTTATGGACCGTAATAATTTGAATACTTCTATCTTCATTAATAGGATGTAAAACTAAACTCAAGTCATTGATTTAATTACCTCTTTGTTCTTAAATTTTATTTTGAGAGAATTCCCTAAATAGGAGTAAAAAAGTTTTGAAATTCCAAAATAGGAGTATCATGTTTTTTATTTCTTGAATAAGAGTAAATTTCTGCCAAATTTAATATTACTAGATTTTAAAACATGACATTTTTTCCAAACTTGACATATTACTCCTATTCAGGGAATAAAAACATGATACTCTTATTTTGGAATTTCAAAACGTTTTTGCTTCTATTTAGAGCAATTTCTGTTTTATTTTTACCCGATGTCTTATATGATTTAATGACATTACTTACTGATGACCTCTCAAAATAGATGATAGGTCCTATTTGTGAAAAGTGAATAACTTTTAGTCCTATTTTGATAATTAACTCATGATAAGTTTAAAAGTGTTGGTCGTCAAAATCCAAACTAGATATGTATGTATGGCCTAATACGATTCCGGTTCCCTTTATGTGATCCAAAATTAAAGCGGACGAAGAGTGAGGTTGGGTCCGCCTCTAGCCAGTAGGTGCATGTGGTGGCTATGGCTTGCTCCCTTAAATCAATCCTCCGTGATCAAGAATCGCTGTCATCTCGATCATTTGTTTTCTTTTATAAAAAAAAGATGCACACCCCATCCCTGAGGCTCCCAACTCCGATCGAATGGTATGTTGGAGGATGTAAATTGGACTATAATCTCAATCTGACAAATAGAGAGTAGGGCTCTGTCCCCGGTACTTGCAGAGGCCCCTCATCGTAGTTGCCGAGATTCGAACTCGGGACCTAACTCTTGTGGCACTCCCTTGCTACCAGTTGAGCTACGCCCACCGGTAATCATTTGTTTTCTTGAATCCCCAATCGTATCGGCCTCGATACCCGACAGGAAATATGAGATGTTATGAATTATGGTAACTCAATTTAGCACATGATAGATCAGTACGCGTTGTGCACTTGTGCATATGGAGTCCCTCTTTAATTGAGAAGTTACTCTCACATTGAAGTTTGTGAAACTCAATCCTAAATTACTTGCTTCAAATATCACCTTGTGACCAACTGAGTTGTCCATAATATGCATGCTGGATGTTTGTTTTCAATTTGAGATTATAAGTAACTTTAATTTTCAGATTGTAAGTCTTATTTGTCAATAATATTGCCTCCGTCTCTAAGATTGGGACAAAGGATGGAGAAGTGTAGTGTTGGGCCTGCGATTTTCCTAATGAGTGGGCCAGCAAGTTAAATGTTGGAAGTGGTCAGACCGAGCCCAAAGAAAACAAACGTGTGTTGCTCAAGACTCCACTAAGTCAAAGGGAGATAAAGATAAGAAGAAGCGGTTACACATGGAGAAGAAACAGGCTAAGCAGTTAACGATGTACTCCACTATCATCACGATCAAATCAACAGAGAACTAATAGCTTGTTTATTTGCATTCAAATACTCAGTCATATACAAAGTACTCAACATATTAATTATATATCTTATTATTTAATTAGTCCATTATCGATTCATATTTGTTCGATTCTCATCTTATTCTTATCGATAAATTAGTTTATTTTTGGCATAAACATGTAGTTTTACAAAAGTAGAATTATGTAGTTGACAATAAATTGAGAAAGTGAGAATAAAGTAAGAATGAATTAGACACACAGAAATATTATAAAATGTGCTATGAGATAAATTAGCAGGAGAAACGAAAAAGAAAAAAAATGGACAATTATACTGAGACGGAGGGAGTAATCTACTATATACGTAGTACTCCTTATATAGTTTCTGATTTCACATTTTAAATTGTAAAACAAACAAAAAAATAAGCTAAGAATTACTATTCTGTTTAAATTGACTGAAATAATAGTAGAAATTATTTTAGCTACTTTTAATATACTTTTTCCTTATACTGCTTCAAAAGGAAGAAACATATATTGGAGTGTTTGAGTGGAATTGCAAAAGTGTTCTAAATTATTTTTAAGACGTTTTTTTAGAAGTTGTAGAAGATCAACTTCTCGGAGAATCAATTCCAAACCCCCTTAATTTAAACTAATTTCAATTTACTTGCCTCAGTTCCATTCACTTATAAACAGCGCATCGGGGAGCATATACTGATATACGGAGCGATAGATATTGTTGAATCGATCAATCTTTTGCCTCCCGTTTCAAAGACGGAAGTAAAGAAGCATCCGGTCGTTTGAGGTGAGAATAGTACACGGAGTATATATTACATACTGTCTGTCGGCTACGTGTTGGGAATTATACCACAGCTCTATGTATATGCTCTCAAATTCTCAATGCACTTGCCTATCCTTCAAAAGATGCTCATCGATAATGACCGGCCGGCCGGCCACTTATAAACACATCTAGCTCATTGCTATTTCTATTCACCCCATTTTATTTTAATCTCTAACCCCAAGGGTCCCACGCCCCGAACTGACAAAACTTTTGGATGTTGTAAGTCGCGGTGACTTAGTCGACCTAATGATGGTAGAACTTGTATCCC